TCTTTCTCCCGCGGAGCGGCTGGTAGTTTCGAACCGCTGACCTTAAGGTTCGCAGCCCGATTCGTAACCACTACGCTACCAGAGCTCCTTCAGCAATCATGCTAGTAGCCATGATTTGTTATTAACAGTTTGCTAAATTGAATCAAAGGCTTTATAAGCTCTAGCTTTTATTGCGATGCAGTATAATGTGATGGTCAGAAGGGCCTGGGGAGTATAGCTGATTGGATTCAAGTTTTAGCTTTGCCAATTATTTGCTGTGTAAACTTGGGCAGTGACTCTGTATGATAAACACTAGACTGCAAACCACAAATAGCTGCTCTTCAACAGATAGATGAGGTTTTCTGCTCCTGGAAGGATTTACAGCCTCGGAAATCCTATGCAGAGTCACTGTGAGTCGGAACACAAAAAACTTGAGCAAATTATCTAAACTCTGTGTCTCAGTTTCGTCATTTGTAAAATAAGGATAGTAACAATACTTATCTGTTGTTGTTGAATAGATTTAATGACTTAAATAAATACTTATGCTTTTTTGGGGGGGGGCACATATTAAGTGTTATTTTTGATCCTCAAGCCAAATGATACAATTATTCCAGTTTGCACTTAGGAAATGGAAAGTATAGCAACTTGCCCAAGGTCACATGAATAATAAGACCTCTAATTCAGGTCTGTTGTTAGGTGCCCTTGAGTCGATTTCTGCCTCCTAGGGACCCCATGTAAGGAGCCTGGTGGCACAGTGGCTAAGCCTTTGGCTGCTAACTGAAAGGTCAGCAGTTGGAATCTACTAGTTGTGTTGTGGGAGATGAAAGTCAGCTTCCAAACAATTACAACCTTAGAAACACCTGTTGGGCAGTTCTACTCTGTCCTGTAGAGGAAGTGTGTCCAGGAACCAACTGGATGATGACATGTTTCATTTTTTGGAATCTTTACTTAAACAGACTGCCACATCTTGGGGTAGCTAGTGGGAATAGTTGGTGGAATCACTCTGTCAGCAGCTGAGCACTTTAACTACTGTGTCCACAGAGCTCTTTACAACTCAGATCTGTTGTTGTCATTGTTAAGTGCCATCGAGTAGGTTCTGACTCATCGGGACTTTGTACAGGGTTTCACAGGAGCAGCTGGTGGGTTTGAACCACCAACCTTGCAGTTAGCAGTCTGGCGCACATCCTATAGCACCACACAATTCAGATCAAGTTCCGTCTAATTCCAAGGCTAATGCACTTAACTAAATGGTATGCTGACTACTGTCTGTTGCTGTTCTTAGTGTAGGGTCCACTGTAAGCCAATTCAATTTATATAACCAGATCCTTAAAACAGAGTTGTTCAAATGTAGTAAAGGTGTGTTTCTTCTTTGTAGGTGTTTATAATGAAGATTCTGGACTAGAAGTCAACATGTCTACCTAGCTATAATTCAAATAAATAATGTTTCTGCCCTCATTCTCCAGATCTTTACAGAAGGGTTTACATGTGATGGTTTTGAAAAATTGTACCATCTTAAGTTCTGCAACTTATTCTAAGGATACCAATATTTTTATAAATAAGAGTATTATTTTAGACAAGAGAAATTACCTTTCTCACAAAACTATAAGCAGTCAGCTCTAGAGGATTTTTGATGAACAGAAGTTCTGTGTTATGATTTAAATAGAAATGTGTAATACTGCATTTAAATATATCCGATTTGCGTATTTTTAGGGACTTCTGATGTAGCACTGTAGGATTAGAACTGGATCATGAACTGCCAGATTGGCAGTTCAAACCCACCAGCTGCTCCTCAGAAAACCCTGTACAGGGTCCCTGTGAGTTGGAAACGACTGGATGGCACTTAACAACAGCAACATTTCCATATTTAAAGTGAAAGGTCATTGAAAAAGAGGAAGACCCCAACAAAATGGATTGACACAGTGGCAGCACCAGTGGTCTCAAACATAACAATTGTATGAATGGCTCAGGACCAGGAAGTGTTTCTTTCTGTGCATAAAGTTTCTATGAGTTGAAACCAATTCAATGGCACCGAACAACAACATAACTAATATTATATACCTTCTTTAGTTGTTGGAAATGTTAGACTTATATCATCTTAGAATTTTGTAAGGTGTATTTCTTTGTGAGTGGAAAAATCACTCTTAGTCTCTTTATTTAAACTAGGTCCTTATTTGTCTTACAAATCTGCTTTCTGTGCAAACATATGTTTAGACAGAAAGGATTTTAGCTTGAATGTCTTTTCATTAATTACAGAGATTAGGAAGTGGCTGTCTGAACTATTTTCCAAAGGATAAACATTATAAATCTTTGGATGTGGCAGCTCACCATGAAGATACTATTGATTTTGGAGTAATGTCTTTTCCTTAAAATGTTCCATGAATAATTTTATAACAGGACAGTTGGCTCTGAAGGTACCAGCTAAGAATCCAAGCAGAGCCAGTCCATTGATAGCATCTGCAGTGTCTAGTGACCTAGATCTTTGAATGGCATAGTTTAATGACACTACTGAAAAATGGGTTAGGCTGTCAGGTAGGAAACCCTGCACTATCTATAAACAACACAACATTTCAAGCTTTTTGAAAACTCCTGGAATTGTTCCTGTCAGCACATCTTGTGGCCTTTTATAGAGAATCTTAGAATGTCCTAGATGGGACCTTGGGTTCACTGTTGTTAAGGGCTATTGAATTGATTCTGACTCATAGCAACCCTGCACAGGGTTTCTGAGGAGCAGTTGGTGGGTTTGAACTGCTGATTGTATAGTTAGCAGTCCAGTACATATCCTCCAGAGCCATATAAGGACTCTACTACTTCACAAGTAATTTTGGTGCTCTATGCAAATTACTTGAGATGCACAGATATTATGAAAGAGTCCTTATTCTTACGAAGCACACAGTCTACAAACAATCATCTAGCCTAGTATCTTAATTTTATAAATGGGAATCAGAGGAACAGAAGAATACACCTTGAGATGAGGCAAAGTTGGAGCTAGAGCCCAGGGCTCCTCTTCTGATGTCACACAGAATGTTTTCTCCGCTGCATTTTACTTCTGTACTGATTCTTGTCGGGAGGACAATTGTGGCAGCTTCTCAAAATGTAGGTGAAAATTCTTGTGAAAAACTTTGTTTTTGAATACTCGTAGTATGGATGAGAATGACTTACTTGGTGAGTCCTCGTTGAAGTTCTCCCTGTAGACAGTCTTCATAGAACTGTATTCTCCTATCTAGCCATTCAGTTCTCTACTTCTACCATCTCAGGGAACATCTAGTTGCAGGGGACACATGACCGGTACCTCAGTCCCAGCAGATGTCTACACTGGTCAAATTTTCTAATTTCTCTCTTTTTTAATGTCACCAAAAATTAGCACAAGAACTGTACAAATTAGATGCACAGGAGGTGTTTTCTGAATGAACATCTTGGAATTAATAATTTATTCTCATTTTCTGTTAGTCTAACCTTCTTAGTTGTTGGGGATGACTGATGCTGGAAAATCTGGAAAACTACTAATGACTTAATTTTACTTTGTGGTATCTTCCATTTTTGAAGCTGTTTAATTTCTGGGTCAGTGGTTTTCAAACTTTTTGACCTCAGAACTACTTCTCACTCTTAAAACTTATTGAGGACTCCAAAAAAAGTTTGTCTATGTAAATTATAGAATGGATTAAAATTCCTGTCTTGCCACTTTCATTGATATTAAAACTAAGATGCTTTAATTCATCTAAAAATAGCAATAATAGACCCATTGCATGTTAAATAGATAACATGCTTTTCATGAAAAACTACTATATCTTACACACACACACACACACACACACACACACACACGCAAAATTTAGTTGAGAAGAGATGGTATTGTTTTACATTGCTTTTGTCAATTTCCATAGTAGCTGATATCAACAGAAAACAGGTGAATTCTCATATCTTCTTTTGTATTCAATCAATTGAATTTGTTGTTTAGGTTGAAGTATAAGATAAAATCCAACTTTACAAAGATTTGTCATTGGAAAAGAGTAGATCTTAAAGATCCCCTGAAGAGTTTCTGGAACCCTAGCTAGCCACAGATCACACTGAGAATTGTTAATCTAGGTCATTAGCATCTTATTCTTATTACAGAATAGCTTTCATGATCCTATCCTGGTAGACTGATTTAGAGAAGCGAAGTGTCACAGTAAAATTATTTTTAAATAATCCATCAAGCTAGGAAAGTCATAGCTTTTAAAAATAACCAATGCTCTTCTTTTTCAAGAAACTTCACTAGTGTAAATTATTATGTCCAATTACAATGTTCTTTCTCTTTTTAAATAATAATTCTTTTTTGGTTGTGCTCTTAATCTGCTCATGCTTTATTGTAGGACATGAACCTGGGGATATAAGAGCAAAGTAGGGAAAGGCAAAAAGCAAATCCATTGAATTGATTTGCCTTTTTTAGAAAGGACTTATTTTTATTATATTATTATAAAAAATATATAACAACTTATTGCCAATTCTTTTTCCTTTTTGCTTTAATGAGTTTTTTGTTTTGTTTTAATTTTGATTTGAGTGAAAGTTTACAGAGAAAATTGGTTTTCCGTTCAACAAGTCATACTCATTTGTGACGTTGATTACCATCATCACACTCTAACAGCACTCTTCTCCCTTCTTCCCTTTGTTTACTGTTTCCCTACATCCTTCTCGCCTATCCCTTCCTGTGTTCTGGGTTTTCTGCTGCTCTTTTGATCTCCTGTGGTTGTTTGTTCGAAGGAGTTTGTACCTTCCTGGTGTTATTGTTCACCTTATTGTTGTTGTTAGGTGTCATCAGCTCATAGTGATGCTACCCACAACAGAATGAAATGCTGACCAGTCCCACACCAATCTCACAATCATTGCTAAGCCTGAGCCCATTGCTGCCGCCACTGTGCTACTCCATCTCATTAGGGGCCTTCCTCTTTTTCTTCAGCCCTCCACTTTACCAAACATGATATCCTTCACCAGGGACTAATCCCTCTGATATTATGTCTGAAATATGAGACACAAATTCTGGCCATTCTGGCCTCCAAGGAACATTCTGACTGTCCTTCTTCCAACACAGATTGTTTTGTTCTTTTGGCAGTCCATGGTAATTTTAATGTTCTCCTCCAACACCATAACTCTTCTTCTGCGGTCTTCCTTATTTACTGTCCAGCTTTCACATACATATAAGGTTATTGAATATACCAAGGTGCACCTTAGTCCTCACACTGTCATCTTTGCTCTTCAACACTTTAAAAAGGTCTTGTGTAGCAGATTTGCCTCATGCAATATGTCATTTGATTTCTTGACTGCTGCTTCCATGAGTGTTAATGGTAGATCCAAGCAAAATGAAGTCTTTGACAACTTCAATCATTTCTCCATTTATATGGATGTTGTTTATTGATCCAGTGGTAAGGATTGTTGTTTTATTTACATTGAGATGCAACACATAACAAAGGGTGTGGGGCTTTGAGATTCATCAGTATTTTAAGACCTCTTCAATTTCAGCAAGAAAGGTTGTATCATCTACATATAGCAGGTTGTTAATGCCTTCCTACAATTCTGATGCCACATTTTTCCTCATATAACCCAACTTCTCTGATTATTTGCTCAGCATACAGGTTGAATAAGGTTACCTTGTAGACCTTTCTATTGTTAGTTGAAAGTTGAACCACAGGGGTGAGTTCAGTTCCAGGTCTTAAGGCTGTCTAACAGGCATAGTCTTGTGGGTTCCACCAGTCTCTAGGACACCAGTAAGCCTGGTTGTTGTTATGATTTTGAGTTTTGTTCTGCATTTTTCTCCCACTCTACCCAGGGCCTCCTGTTGTGATCCCTTTCAGAGCAGTCAGCAGTGCTAGTCAGGAACCATCTAGGTCTGGTCTCAGGATCATGGAGGCTGGGGTTCAAGTGGTCCATTGGTTTCCTTGCATCTTTGATTTTTTTCACTCTTCTTTGTTCCAGATTATTTGAAACCAGTAATTGTACCTTAGAGGGCCACTTTCTAGGTTTTAGGAACTCAACTGCTACCCTCCAAAGTAGGATGTAGAACATTGTCTTTATGGATTATATTATGCCAATTAACTTTGGTACCCTCTGAGACTGTGGTCCTGATCTTCCAGGTCCCTTGAAAACATTGTCATTTCAAACATTTTTATGTGTACAATCTAGTCAGGATTTTATTTCTCTTTCTACCTGAGTAAGATTCCATTGTATTTATGCAACAGTAAGTGAAAAAGTATTGCTACTGTGGCAGCATACATGCATGGATTTAGTCCATACAAAATGTGTATGTCTCAGTTATCAGTGGATGGCTGCAGACAAGTTTTCTCAGTAATACATTTGTCTTAGCAATACACTTGTCAAAAAAACAAAACAAAAAAGCCCAATCAACACTTTGTCTGAGGGGATCTGCTGGGCTAGTGAAGTTTAAGTCAGATACAGCAGCTCAGAGTATGGGAACTATTTTTTGAGATTCTAAAGTGGTCATCCTACTAGATTTTTTTAAGGACACAGGATTGATCACAGGGGATTATTATGAAGAAACTTTAAGAAAATGGAAATTGGTGAGAAAAAGACCAGGAATATGATACTGAGGAATTCCCACCCACCCCACCCACCACAATGCTCCTGTTCATTCTTCAAGACTAGCAAGGACTGTCGTAGAGAATTTCATTGGGAAACCTTACTCGCTTCATCCTACAGCCCTGGCCTTGTCCCTTCAGATTTCTTTTTGTTCCCCAACCTCAAAGAACATTCAAAGGAACCACAGTTTGTATCCCATGAGGATGCCAGAATTTCCATTTTGTTGTTGTGTAAATTGAAGAGTCCAGAATTATTTGGGGAGAAGGGTTAGAGAGATGGAAAGACTGCCTTCAGAAGTGTATAGCCTAGGTGGAAGTTATTTTTTGACTGTCCTTCATATACCACACTTTGCTTATCTAGTCATCTGCTGACGTACATTTAAGTTGTTTCTACCTAAGCACTTAATTTTTTTTTTTTTTTTAAGTTTTTATCGTGAACTGAGTGATAGTTTACCTGGGAGAACATTGGCTTTACACCATCGTTTTCTTGCAATGAGTATGATCTCCTCCATGCATCTTCATTCAACAATATTTGCTTCCATTTCCTCTTTTTTTTTGCAGGGGGGTGCGATGTACACAAAAACACTCAGGAATATATAATAATTGAAACAACTAAAGGGCACATTCTGCACACCTGCCTCCTGGCCGCCAGCACCCAGCCCCTCTCCTTCCATGAGTCCAGAGTCCAACTGCTCCCTCTCTCCATGTCCTCATCTCTGCCTCCATCTCTGGTGTCTCTGCTTTTCTGGATAGGGCCCCACATTCTGCTAAGGACTGAATTTTAATATAACCATTGTACCATTATTGCTCCTAGCAAAATTAACAGTATACATTCTTCTTTTTACTAAACAGGGACCGCAGCTACCAGCAGCCAAGGGATGCTGCCACTCAGCTGCCAACTGAAACAAGCTCCTCCTCAGAAGGTTTTGTGTAGATGCTGGGCCGTGATGGGGAAATTGCAAAGCAAGCTCAAACACAGCACTTCCAAATACAGGTACAGCAATTCTAACCTTGGGTCGCAAGCCTTACCATGCCCCACTAAAAGTCTCTCCTAAAGAAAGAGAAGGTCCAAAGTGAGTTATCAGTGACCTTCCCTGAAGAGTTTGGTCTATTGTCTGTTGATCCGAAACAGGCTGCTTATTACCTAGTGTAGTTATCCCCACAGTGAGGCCCTACATCTTTGGGAATAATTTCTAGTGTGAGTAAAGACTCTAGACTTCTTACCTTCAGGGTCCCCCTTTATTAGATTTCAAACACTCAGTTGTTCTGAGCATTTTAAGAGTTAGTATTACCATTGCTGGCAACAGCAAGGAGTCTGCTCTTTCTGCTACTTTTCCAGCTGAACTTGCTATCTTCATCTGTGCCCTTGTGCCTCTTGTTCCACTGTCCACTCACCAAGTACTATCAGGCCTGTCACTTCCTGTCTTCTCTTTGGCAGGCCTGATGCAGTCATTGAAGAGAGGATTCAAACTAAAACCTTTCAAGACTATAGCCCAGCCCACCTGGATACCACCGTCTTTGCCGTTGCTGCTTTAAACTCAGAACTTTGCGTCTCTGGAGGAAAAGATAAGGTGGGGTTTGCAGTGGACACCAGTTTACATTGGGAAGGGAAACTATTTTATTAGGAAGTCCAGCTTCTGCATTCCTGGCAGCAATGTTGACTATTAGAAGATATGAACATTAGGGTTAGATAGACGGGGTTTCAATCCCGGACCTGCCACTTCTATTACTTTGAGAAAGTCTTTTAATTGTTTTGCACTACAATCTTCTTATCTGATGGCTGGTGATAATAATTTTAATGTTATAGGACAGTTGTGAATGAAAGGACTTATGCTAGAACTTATGCTAGAACACCCCCATGTTTTTTATAAATGACAAGTACTATTATTCTGGGCAATCCATTTTTACATCCACCCAGGGGTCATTTATCAGCGAGAGGTACCTCCTCATCTCTTCTTTCTGCCGGTCTTCTGCTAGTTTCTACACTGCAGTGCATTGAGAGTCTCTCTTCCTATCTCTTGACTGCCCTCCCATTGTACTTGGAGTCTGGTTGTTTTCTTTCCCTCATACTTGGACCTATCATGGTGTTTAGAGCTAAGATATTGGGAGCAAAAACACTGAAATCATCTTACAATGAATAATACTAATAATGCCTCTCCTTTTCAGTACACTTTGTAGAATCTTCAAATTCCATTTGCATACTGTATTTCATTGCTTCTAAGATAATATCTTTTCACATTTTAACACCTCTGAAATCAGGATGCATCTAAGATTGATTGTAAAACATGGTGTCATAGTTTAATCTGCAACATTTTTGTCATCTTGTATCATCTTCTTGTTGTTAAGTGCTGTCAAGTCAGTTCCTACTCATACTGACCCTGTATAGGGTTTCCAAGGAGCTGGTGGGTTTGCACTGCCAACCTTGCATTTAGCAGCCCAGTGTTCATCCTACAGCACCACAGACATTTTGTTTACATGGTCCTTACTCACACCTGTGGGGGGTAGGTAGGGAAAAGAGTATCCTTTCTATACTGCAAGTTAAGAACTTGGCATTCAGCTATGCTACATGCTAATGAGAACAGCTTCACTATACTCATGTTCCTTACCCTCTAGCCGTGAACTACAAGAGGCCAGGCCAGAGAACATACACCCTGGTGAGGCAGTGGCTAAGCATTTAGCTGTTCAGAGATCACTAGATTCAGCCCACTAGCCACTCTGTGGGAGAAAGATTAAATCTGGTAGCGTTATGCTGATTCTGACTTATAGCAGCTTGGAAGCCTATGGGCTATCCTATAGGGACACTAGGAGTCACAATTGACTTGATAGCAATAGCAGACCAGAGCCATATTTTAAAAATCTCATCTAAGGGAAAAGTGCTTACAAGAAAACATCAAGTGAAAAAAACTGGGTATCTCCACTTTAAACAAAAGTATGTTGTTGTTCAGTGCCGTCGAGTCGGTTCCAACCCATAGCAACCCTGCACAGGGCTTCTGAGGAGTTTGAACCACCAACCTTGTAGCTCAAACCAACTTTATAGTCCAGAGCATTAACCCACAGCACCATATCAGGACTCCTATAGGCCTGGAAAAAAAGCTGGAGAATTGGAAGTTTTTCACAGTAATTCTCTCTGGCTATTGGAGTTAGGGATCAATTTTTTTGAAATTTAAAAAAGAAACATAATATAACTGGGTGGGGGGCCTAATCCCATATAGAATTCTGAACCAGAACCTCAATTTGAATCAATTCCTTTTGGCAAATGCTATCTTAAATCCATCAGTTAAGCTTAGAGGAGTGGCCCAGAGGCTCAGGGAGAGACAGAGGAACTATCAGGCGGAAAGAACAGAGACTCAGAGTAGGGGAACATGAGGAGGGAGGGACGGAACAATAAAACCCTAATGCTTAAAGCAAGTCCCTTGAGAAATGGGGCTATAGTTAGAAAGAAGGCTTATTGTCTTTGAGCAGGTAAACTAAAGTACTCTAATGATTCTCTGCAGACAGTTGTGGCCTATAATTGGAAAACTGGAAAGGTGGTGAAAAGGTTCAAAGGACACGAACGTGAAGTCACCAAGGTAATTTTCAGTTATTATTGTGGAAGGAGTTTGGAACTGAATGAAGGAATATCAAATAACTCTATTAACAGCAAGTTAATGCCCAGTCTTAAGGAAAAAGGCAAAAGCTTCATGTGATGTTGTAAAACCCCACTCTAAGAAAAGTAAACCATTCACTACTGATACAGGTACGTTGGACACTCCCCCTTTTTTTTTTACTTTTTAATTCCTTAGTTGTCTAGGTGGTAAATACAGAACAGCTGAATAGAGAAGACCTCTCTCTGACCTATCCTGACTTAACAGAGGACTTGTATTGAAGGTTTACTGTCTGTAGAAAAAATATAGGTACAAAATTACAAACTCCCTGTGGTTAGGGATCTTCTATTTTAGTTGTGTTTGTGTATGTGTAGGGGAGCCAACAAAAACTACATAAAAATTACTATGCCATTGTGAAAATGTCAACACTACCCAAAGCAATCTGTAGATATAATGCAATCCCAATTCATATTCCAATGTCATTCTTTAAAGAGATAGAAAAACTGATCACTAACTTTATATGGAAAGGAATAAGACCTTGGATAAGCAAAGCATTTCTTAAGAAGAACAAAAGTTGGAGTCTCTCACTTCCTAAACACAAAATTCACTACCCAGCTATAGCCTGGTACTGGTACAATGAAAGATACATATAAGACCTAAAACTATAAAAATCATCAATGAAAAAATAGGAAGAAACTTAAGGGCTCTAATACATGATGCAAAAACATAACTAAAAACTCACAAACAGTAGAAAACAAAATAGATGACTGGGACCCCTAAAAACTAGAAACTATTGTGCATCAAAAGAGTTTTCCAAAAGAGTAAAAAGAGATCCTACAGACTGGGAAAAAATGTTTGTAATGAAATATTAGACAAGGGACTAATCCCTAAAATTTGTAGACAATTATAATACCTCTACAAGAAAAAGACAAGCAATTCAGTCTAGAAATAGGCAGAAGACATGAACAGACTTCACCAAAGAAGACATCCAGGCAGCCAACAAACATGAAGAAATGTTCATGATCATTAGCCATTAACGAGATGCAAATCAAAACAACAATGAGATATCATCTCACCCCAGCATTAATAGGAAAGTTCAAAAAAAGCAGAAAACCACAAATATTGGTGAGGGTGTGGAAAGACTGGGACCCTCCTCCATTACTAATGGAGGTGTAAAATGGTACAATCACTGTGGAAAGTGGTATAGTGCTTTCTCAAAAAGTTGGAACTAGGAATACCAAATGACCCAATAATCCCTCTACTTGGTATATAATCTCCAAGAAATAAGAACCATGACACAAGTAGATATATGCACATCAGTGTTCATTACAGCACTACTCAGAATAGCAAAAAAGAAAGATACAATCTAAATGCTGATCAATGAAAGAATGGATAAACAAACTTTAGTACATACATACAATACAATACCATGTAACAGTGAAGAAAAACAATAAATCTGTGAAATACCTTATAACATGGATGGACCTGGAGGGCATTATCCTGAGTGAAATTAGTCAATCACAAAAGGACAGATATTTTATGAGATCACTCTTAGGAAAACTCAAGAAAAGGTTTTATGCTGACAGAAATAGTCTTTGATGGTTTCAGAAGTGGGAAGGAAGGGAGAGTAATTTACTGGCTAGAGAGTAGACACATTAGCTCGGATGATGGGAGGCCAATATACAAGAAGAGGAAGGTTGACAGAAGAATGATAAAGACAGGTGAAGACACAGAGATCTATGCAAGGATTAAAGGGGATAGAGGTAACTAGTGTTATTCGCATAACTCTGGAACAACAGTATCAGGCTGAACAGGGTATGGGAGGCAGAGTGGGCATATACATACAAATATAAAGGATTGAAAGAGGATATTTGTACATTGGTATTTACCTTTGCTACAAATAAACTATGAATATGGTAAAACATGTTGTTGTTAAGTGCTATTGAGTCAGTTCCGATTCATAATGATCCTGTATAGGATTTCCAAGGAGCACCTAGTAGATTTGAACCACCAACCTGTGGTTAGCAGTATAGTGCTTATGGTACAGTGCTACACCAGGAGCATACAGGGAAACAAAATGATGAAAACTTCTTAGCTATCATCAGACATCTTAAGGGAATGAGTTTCTGGGCCTGGGGCTCAAGATAATAGTCTCAGGGGACACCATGGTCAATTGGCATAACATAGTCCACAAAGACCATGTTCTATATCCTATTTTGATGAGTATAGTCTGGGATCTTAAAAGCTCACAAGTGGCCATCTAGGGTACAACTATTGGTCTCTCCAGGCACAGGAGAAAGAAAAGTGATGAAAATTGAAGATGCTTGGAATCAACTAGTCCAGTAGACCAATGGAGCAGGTGAACATCAGTCACCATGACTCTGAGACTAGAACTAGATGGTGCCGGCTACCACTACCAGCTTCTCTGAAAAGGATCACATTTGAAGTTTCCAGATAGAGTGGCAGAAAATGTGGAACAAAACTCAAAATTATGGAAAAAAAAATAAAGTCTGGGTTTACTGGCAGAAAGACTCTGAAGGAACCTGAGGCTTGGCCCTCAGACACCCTGAATGTCTAGAAGGGAACTTACCCTCATGGCCCAATTTTCAGCCAAGCAGTAGATAGGTATATAGGGGGACAATATCACTAGTAAGGTATACACACCATGGAATGGTCTATTATTCAAGAGCAAAAGGACAACATTAACCTAAGGTCAAAGTTGAGAAAGGATGAGAAGGAGGATGGAATGGAACTAGGAACCACAGAGAGGAAGTGGGTTAATTGTTGTTGTGTGGAGGGGCTGCAGTCATTGAGATGAAACCAAGTGTATGATTTGTTGAAGTAAAACTGATGATCTTCTCTGTAAACTTTCATTCAATTCACAATGATAAGTTGTTTTTGTATGTTATCAAACTAATTTTTAAAAATGATAATAATGTTATATAACATTACAGAGTAGCACAAGTTTCCAAAAAGAAAAAAAATTATAGAGAATGCCAATTTATTTCACTCCCCTTTCTGAAATCTACAAAAATTAACAAAAAGTTAATATACAAACTCCATCTATAAAGAAACTAGGCATCAGCTACAATCC